CTAGACTCAGCAGTTCTCTGAGTATTGTGTGATGCAAATGTGTTTATAAGCTCTTTTTACTTTTTTATCTGATTTAGTTACTTTTTTCATGTCTGGCCACTTTGGAAATAGATTCTTTTCTAAAGTTGGAGCAGTAGTTCCGAGTTGTCTTCCCATCAGAAGTCATGTTGGACTCTATCCTGTAGCTGCTACTGGTGTTGACTTGTAGCTCAGAGAAAAAGGAATATATCTTCCTGTTCTAGGGTTTTCTTGGCTTTACTCTCCATTCACTTTTGAGTAACATGGGCTGCTAGTAATATGATCAAAATCATATTTTGTTCAGAATGACTTAAATTCTGCTGCAGTAAATTGTGGTCCATTGTCCATTCCTTGTTGTTCTGGAATGCCAAAATGAGCAAAAATGCACTTCAATTTCTTGATAACACTGTGCCATGTTATGTCTCTCAAGTACATTATTTCTGTATACATGGACAAATAGTCCACTATGACCAGGTAATAATATCCTCTGTATTCGCATAAATCTGAAGCTAGTTTATATCCTTGCTGATGCCAAGCCACTGCACTGGCTGGTTGGCCCATATATGGCATTTTGTTAATCCTTGATGTCCTTCATGGATGAGGTTTAATATTTCTTCTGTCATTTCATTTGGAATTACAATGCTTTCAATGGCTGCTTAAATGGCCATTCTTCAGCAGGAGGAAGGTGTGAATGCAAAATTTACATTGCATCACAGGAACATTTCAAGCCGCACATCCACAAGAGACTGCTTGTCGCCTACACCCCAGCTGAGGATAATCCTCAAAGAAGGGAAAAGGATATAAGGATGAGAGACAGTGATCTCCAATTCACCTCTCCTCCTCCCATCTCTCTGCTCATGACATCAATGAATACCAGAGAGACTCTGAACCAAGGGGGAAGGGGGCAAGGGAGGAGTTCCAGGCTGAAAAGAGGATCCAGTCTGTGAAATTTACTGCAGCATATGGTGAGACAAAATCTTTTGCTTTTAAGTTCACTTGTTAAATTAGGTATTAATTTGCGTTTTACTCTTTTATTTTCTTTTGTAGCCAATCCTGACTTTTATGCATCATCACTTGTAATCACTTAAAATCTATCTTTCTGTACTTATTAAACATAGCTTATTGTTTTGTCTTAATCAGTGTTTCAGATAACAAGGCTGGCACATTATCATTTTGCTTTGATGAAATGTTGGACTTTCTGTGAACTTGTACTGTTCAGAAGGGTGCTGAGCAGCACAAGATGTACATTTCAGGGAACAAGGCTCGGATTAAGAATTTGCAAGTATCGCCCGATATGTAATTCATGAGTGAATGGTCAGAGTGCTCATGTATTTAACTGGGAGTGAATTTACGTGCTGAAGATTGTGTGAGCAGGCCAGGAGTGGCTGTTTATACAGCAAAGCAGTGTAAAGGGCACCCCCGGCTAGAGAACTGAAGGGGCTCAGCTATTCAACAGTCCAAATCGTACCCTGAGTGACATCAAGGTGTGATGCTGGGTTCCATGACAGAGTGTCTGCTGCTACCAGATTTTTCTCAGGAACATATTTAGAAGTTGGGTTAAATCACACTAACCTTATTAATAGATGTGGACATCTCAGCAGTGCTTGAGCCAACCTTTTCCATTGATGAGAGTTTATTGGTCTTTTATCATTGTAAATTAATCCAAACCACACAGATATCTGTAAAAGTTTTCATATGCCCATACACTTGCCAGGCCCTTGTTTTCATTCACTCTGTATAACTTTTCTGCTTCTGTGAGTGTGCGAGAGCAAAACACAACTGCCTTCCACACACATTTGTGTTGTTGCCATAGTATACCACCTAGACCATAGAGGTGTTTGCATCCACACTGACCATTGTGGGTTTGTTCGCATGTGGAGACTGGAGCTGCTGAAATAATTTCTTTTGCCTTTTAGAAGGCAATGTCTTGATTTAGCCCCCATAGCCAAGATGCATTGGACAGTTCATGCAGTGATTTTGTCACTGTAGAAAGGTCTTGTAGGTATCGACCAAGGTAATTTACCATGCCCAGGACACTCTCAGTTCTGGTACATTTGTTGGTGCATTCCATTCTCAGATTCCTTTTACTTTCTCAGGGCTCAGACTGATTCCATCTTTCTTTATTGACTGTCCCAAAAAGCTCAATTTGGGGTAGGTGGAAAACACGCTTTTCTTTAACTTCAGTCTGGTCTGACTGATTAGGCCTAGGGCTTTGTTGAAGGTTTTGTTGTGTTCTTCCATTGAAGATCCATATATCAAAACATTGTCCATGAAAAGTACAACTCCGTTCATCTTCGGTAACAGTTCTGCCATCTTTCTTTGGAAAATTTCAGGTGCACTGGTAATCCCAAAAGGTAATCTTCGAAAGTAAAATCTCCCAAAGGGGTTGATAGAGGAATTTGCCAGAGTTGGCTCGAGGTATTCAGCTTGGGAGAATACTTTAGTTCCTTTCATTTTGGGAAGGAAATCATCCAGAGTTGGGAGAACATATTTTTCTCTCCCAGTTGCTTCATTAAGTCTTTTAAGAGTCACACAGATTCATATTTTTCCACTTTCTTTATAACTACTACCATTGGGGCACACCATACTGTTGGTCTTTGTAAGTTGTTTCTCTGGCCCATGTGTTCGGACTACTTTCAGGGCTAGTCAGGGCTGTGTCAGGTGACTTCCATTCTGGGAGGGGTTGAAGGTTAGACATCTGCTTCTGGATCATTTAAAAGTCACTAGTGTTTCCATGAATACTCAGTTTCACTCTCCAGGCAAGCTCTGTGTCATGAGATGTGATAGACGACAGAAACAATGGGTTTTGATTGTCAATAATATGAGTTAATACCCTGACCTGCTTTGGTGCAACAAACAACTGCAAAATGTCCATATTTTGTGCAGTGTTGGAGAAGCCATGTTGGTCCCAGGATATTAGACATACAAGGTGAGTGAGGTAGTATCTTTTATTGGACCAAATTCTGTTGGTGAGAGAGACAAGGTTTTGAGTTTATGCAGAGGTCTTCTTCAGGTCTGGGGGACTTATTCAGAGTGTCACAGCTAAAGACAAGATGGAACACATTGTTTAGCACATATTTCAAGGGACCGTTCAAGGTGAAGGGGCCCATTAACACTTCACTTATACCGTTTTAATAAGCCATAAAGCCAATGTCTATTCAGACCATGATATTTAGTATCTAGCAAAGTTAAGAATTTAAGCTCCCAGACTTGTCTTTTTAAAGTTTTGTGCTGGTTTCCTTTGAGGACAAGGACAACAATCTATAACCCACTAACAACCCCCTCAGCTGCTCTCCCACATCCTTTCTTCCCTATGCCCGGAGGAAAGTTAATGGGCCATTTGGGGAGGAACTCATCTACAGGAACTCCTCACTTAAAGTCCTTCCGGTTAACGTTGTTTCCTTTTTACGTTGCTGATCAATTAGAGAACATACTCGTTTAAAGTTGCGCAATGCTTCCTTATAAGGTTGTTTGGCAGCCGCCGGCTTTGTCCACTGCTTCCAGAAAGAGCTAGTGATGGGGGCTTGGAACGAGGGTGGACGGACCCCCCATCAGCTTCCCTGCTCCCCTAAGTTCCCTGTGCAGCAGCCACCCAGCAGGCTATCAATTGCCAGCAGTTCAGCTGTCCCTCCCCACACTGCCGTGTGTTGCTCCTGCCCTCTGCCTTGGAGCTGCTCCCGGGAGCCTCCTGCTTGCTGTGCAGGGGGGGACGGGGACGGGACAGGGACTAATGTCAGGGAATCCCCCTCATCTCTGCCCCCTCTTATCCCATCTCCATAGAGCAGAGGGGGGACACAACAGGGCTCAGGACGGAGGGAGCTTTCTGGCAGCAGCTGCTGTTTCAACTTGCTGATCTACTTAAAAAGGCAATGTACTTTCGGGAGGTCAGTATACTTAAAGGGGCAATCACATCTCTCTCACACACACAGAGTGTGTCCCTGTCTGCCATGCTGTCTCTCCTCCCTCTATTTGTGCTGCCTTGTAGTGTGTGAGGCTATATTAACAACAATGTGTTAACTCTTGAGGGCTCACCTGTTCTAGTTCATCATTTAGCAGTAAGGCATTCTCTGGAAATATCCCACCCTCTTCCACCCACTGACTTCACGATCTCAACCAAGCTTCACAATCATCATTGCTGTGTACAGTATTAAATTGTTTGTTTAAAACTTTACTTTCTGTGTGTGTGTATGTATATATATATAATATAGTCTTTTGTCTGGTGAAAAAAATTTCGATGGAACCTAACCCCTCTTATTTACATTAATTCTTATGGGGAAATTGGATTCACTTAACATCATTTCGCTTAAAGTCGCATTTTTCAGGAACATAACTACAATGTTAAGCGAGGAGTTACTGTATTGAGTTGTCTGTAAAGGCTCGCACACACTGTTGGCACTGAAGAGTACAGTGATGACATCACATACCACATGCTAATACATGTCATGACATCACCACTGAATCATTTGTTCCCTGGCACAAAAATCAGTAGTTCCCTGTTCTGATTTTCATTATTTAGTGTTATATCCTATGTAGAGCCTCTAAGCGTGTTGTCAAAGGATGTTACTATGTTCTCGCCTGACAAAAGCACTGGTGTTGTACCACAGCCCCAAGTTTTCTGCTGCACAATCACACTATTACCAACCCCAGGCACTGAAAAAGCAGGAGTCAGACACCAAAAATCTGTTCTCTTCACTTTCTTGATTGATGAGCCTCTCAAGCGTGCCTGGGTTCTGTTTTCAAGCTTGTCTTCATACCCCTGAAGGCTGGGCCTGTATTATAAATGAAACCTCACAGTCTCATCTCAACCGCTCGTCCCCACGAGCTGGGACATTAACCACAAATAAATAAAGAAAGAAATATTGTGACACTGCGACGATAAAATTACACCCAGCTCCTTGGGTTGCTATGGAGATAAGCGCGAGCCACACCGGAAATGTCCCGTTCTGAAACTCTCCCCGGAGAATCGAGCGGCTCCTCTTTTGCGCTAGCCGCGGGGTCGGGGCCGGAACTGTGAGCTGGGACGTGAGTTCCAGCCAGGCCCTATTTGGTGTCTCACTTACTCATTCTCCCCCCGCCGCGCCGTTACCAAGGTAATGGAGTCGTTGGAGAAGCAAGGAGCCCGGGGCAAGATGGTGAGGGACAGGGTGGGGAGGGGGTCGCCGCTTGTGGGATCCAGGAGCGGGGAGGTCTGATACCCCCCAGCGCCTCCCCGCTCTCACCCGGTCTCCCCTCTTCTTTCTGCCCCCTCCAGATGCTCTCCCAGGCCAAGCCAGCCGTGGGGGGCGCCCCACCGCAGGGTGACAAACGGAAGAAGAAAGGCAAGAAAACTGTGACTATGCGGTTCTGGCGGAACCCAACTGAGAGCACCAACTCAGGACAAATTGCTAAAACAGGGCAGTTACAGCTGGGGTTTTTCCACCTCTAAGGCAAACCAAACCAGCCAGACTAAGACTTCGGTCTCATCCCACTGGCTAACTGCAA